TAAATAAATTTGAGTGATGATGATAAGTTCATTGAAACACTTCACAATGTTTCTACACTAAAACTGAGCTAAAAAAAAAATAAAAAAAATAAAAAAAATAAAAAAGACAGACCAGGAAGCAAACCTGCAACCTTCTTGCTAAGCTTGCTGACAGCTCTAACTACTGTTGCTGCCATGCCGCATAAAATAAACTAAATACAGTAGTCCCTCGCTGCTTCAAGGTTCAACATTCGCGGACTCGCTCTTTCGTCATTTTTTAAAGTAAGACTGAACAAGAAGGAAAAATAAAAGTATACGACACGATTGTCAACTTTAATATTATTCAAGTGATTGGGACAGTATGGGATAATGTACATTAAAAAGTTAACAAAAAAATAAAATACTTCGGACAGGTGCCGCCATTTTGCAGATTTCTCTCAATAAGTCTATATTGCCACTTGGACTACGTTTCCCAGAAGCCAACAGTGCCCCACCCAGAAGCCCAGTTGCCTTCTGCTGAAATAATACTAGAGGGAAAGTTCTGATCTGATCCGAAATGTTTGGTCCTTTAAAGTGACTTCAGCACCCAGTGGATTCAGAAAACCACACGGAACCAGACTAGAACCGGAACAGAACCGGACTCCCAGACCCACCGGTGAAACCGAGAGCTGGTAGCCGGCCCACGAGGACTTCTGGGTGGGGACGCACAGCCGTAGGTCTGGCTTCTCTCTGGAGCCCACCAGGACTCTTTTTCATCCAGATTTGGACTCAATTTAGTCCCGTGCTGGCCATCCGAAGGTGCCCCCCCCCACCCCATCAAAAATGCACTTCAGCGCTCAAGGCCTGCACAGAACTGGACCAGAATTGGAACAGAACTGGACCTCCACACCCATCGGTGAACCTGAGAGCTGGTAGCCGGCCCACAAGGACTTCCAAGTGGGGACGCGCAGCCGTAGGTCCGGCTTCTCTCTGGAGCCCACCGCCACTACCCTGAGCCAGTGAGTCAACCAGAACTGGCAGGGAAGGTCTGCCGAAACAGAACCAAGCTGTCCGGAACCGAGCCGCTGTTGTTCTGCTGAGCTGGTAAGTAAAATTTAGTAGCTACATATAAGTATGTTGTTAAAATGACGTAGGTTTAAGAGTTTAGAACATTGCAAGAGTGTGGGAAGGGTTTATAAATAATATAAACAAAAAATATATTTCCCAACACTTTAGTCTACGGGAATCTCTCAGCAAACTGACACACTACAAACAAATGAATGCAGGTTTTAAATATGAAACACAACTGTACTGCAGTGATTCAAAGCATGTTAAACAGGAGGCGGCATCATGATATAAAGACCCAAACATCCAACTAAATTGTGCTTAGCGCCGTTATAGTCACCCTGAATGCATTGAGACAGACTGTAGTTCAGTTTCAGTGTGAACATGACAGTGAACGTGATAAATCTCTTTTCACGTGAACACAGGAAGGCTGCATTTTTTTTAAATTTTATTGTGAAGAAAAGGCAGTTTTAATCAATCAGCAGCTCTGAGCATCTTATGACAACGTCCTCTAACGTTTGTCTGTAAATCTGTTGCTTTGTCAGGATGAATTGAGTGTGTAACGCTGCCCAGACTGTAAATGTCCACTCAGGAAGATACATCATACCGACTTACTAAAATCAATCTGTCTGGGAGTCAGGGTTTCATTTTTATGTCTGCTTGGTATTCAGACTGGGAAGCAAAAATGCTCCATTTTGATCTCGACAACAAATGAATGCAAACATCCCGTGTGTTGCTGGTTAATCTACCAGACACGTTTACTTTTACATCCTGCTAAAAAAGGAACAATTTTAAGTTTTTTTTTTCTCCTCACATATCTACTGGTACTGAGTTGTGCCAAAACAGCCATAAAATTAATAAGGCTAGGATTTACTGATGACAGCTGTCGATCTGATGTATCTGAACTCATCTATCCTGCAGACAAAATGTGCAATCCGACATTTTTAAACCCCTGTGAAATTATATTTCTCTTGTGGCACTCCAGGTCACTTAAATACATGTATAACATTTATTAACTGTACTGTTATTACCACATATGCTTAGGTTGAACATAAACGCTGTATAGGAATGGTACCGTATTTTTCGGACTATAGGGCGCACGTAAAATCCTTTAATTTACTCAAAAATCAACAGTAAGCCTTACAATCCAGTGTGCCTTATGTATTAATTGACCTCAAACCTATTTTATGTGGTACACGGCGCTCAAACAAAAAACACAGGAAGTGTTCCTGTGGTGGTTTTGTTTTGCTTAATGCACCGTATAATCCAGTACACTTTATAGTCAGAAAAATAAGGTAATAAAAATTAAGTTTTCCCAAACCTTTGTAGTATGATACATAATATAACACCAGCGATGATTCTGATGTTGTTTGAATGATATAAAGTACTTTGTAAATTAAAATAACATAAAATCGATCTGTTTTTGTCCAAGTTGAAATGTTGTTGAATGTTTGTGTCCATTTGCATAAATCCAAGCTCTAAACATGGGAGTTTATTCAGCACAGAGGCTGGTCCTGTAACAAGCCAACATCATGGTGACTGGCACCACAAACTGGTTGAATCCTAATTTACTGAAAGTCAGATTCTACAAACAAGGACCAAAGTCCATGCTCATTAATCCAGGTATAAATCCAACAATGTTCAATCAGCTCATCTGGATGGTTTCTTTTGTTGCCGAGACGTTTTGCGCTTCATCCAAAGGACTTCTTCAGTCTGAGGAGCCCACCAAACCAAACTGAATCCCACAAACAGCTCACTCCCAGACTGAAAACCCTACAAATAAGGGTTTAACCATAACAAAATTGATCAAAACAATGGACAAATATGGATGGATATTTAATTTGTATGCTTTGCCGGTAGGTTTGCTGAATGTTTCAGTTATATACCTGTTTAACCTCATATTTGTAATATTTTTATGTTGTGAGTCAGATGTTTCCAACTTTCTAACTAAAATCAGGCCAAAATAATAATGATAATTCTGCTGCAGGTCACCACATCCATCCATCCATCCATCCATCATCTTTACTCACTTCTTCCTTTATGGGTCACAGGGGTCAGTAGTGTCCATGTCCAGCTATCACTGTGTGAGAGGCAGGGGACACCCTGGACAGGTCTCCAGTCCATCACAGTGACACACAGAGACAAAGACAAACAACCATTCACTCTTTCACTCACACCTAGGGACAATTTAGATTTACCAAAATGTTTTTTTTAATTTTATTTCTCCTAAGAGGCAGCAGAGCAACAACTTGTGGATTTAGTTCACCTTGATGCACTGGTATCAGCTTGATACAAGCATCCAGGTGCAGATGTTTCCTACAGTAGAGGATGTTTTGTTTCTTTCCTCAGTTGTTTTTTCAGGATGAAAAAGTTGATCCCTGAAGTCGTTCACTTCAGCTCGCTGAAACATCTCAGTGGAAGCAGTTTAAAGTGGCCCGAGTACACTCGTGCGTGGGTGAATGTTTACAGCTGGCGATCAAAGCTTCCAACTTCTTTGCGAGACATGAAGCTGTGAACCTGAGATGATTAGAAGCCACAGAGAAACCTAATGAGCTGTCTAAACCCGGGCGGCCACCGTCATTACGACTGAACTCCTCGGTGTGGAGCAGCAGACGAGACGCCACAACAAAGAGACCAGCTGATGCCTTTCATTCCCACAGACTCAAGCGCAGGTCAAACTCAGCTTTTAATCTCCTGCACGTCCACCAATCAACAGTGTTGGAGTCTGGGTTAATTTCCTGCTCTCGAGCCTCTGAGGTCAAATTGAATAAGATCCATGCCCACACAAAATATAGATGAACACCTGAGGGTTGAGATTTATTTTATATGAAATAATATGCCTTTAAGGTGCCATTCATCTTCTTATTCATTACTAAACAGCAGCCTTTTTGAGAAAATTCATATTTCGCCTTAAGGATGAGATCATACAGGGTATTTAGGAACGGCCCAGACAAATACTTGAATTAGAATATAAGAAGGAATGTTTGTAAAAAGAGCAAACTAATATTACTTATAGATATATCTGGATATTTTGAGCATTTTCTTTATCTAAAATATTCATAGTGACCAAAAATCTACAACAGATGAACAATATAAACTACAATACTAGAACTGCACCAGTGACTTTATGCAAGTCTTCAGTGTTTTCTTTAAAAATGGTTTTATTAAAAAAAAAAAAAAAAGTATAGTACTCCCTCATTTATCGCAGGGGATCTATACCCTGAAGCCCTGCGATAAGTGAAAAAACGCAAAGTAGGAATAGTAGTACAACTCGTTCTCATACGAGGCGTACACATTCTCCTCCCTCTCCTGTTCTCCTCCTGTTTTTTTTGCTCTCTGTGTATCAGAGCTCCTATTTTACACATCTAAAACGAAAACTACTATTATTGATCTGATCAACTGGACTTTCAACACAATCGACAAAATCTTTTCAACAAAGCAACAGGGTCCTGGAGAGCCCTCATGTCCTGCTGAGAATCTCAGGAGGACACTGAAGACATATACAATGGGATTTATGATAATAGGTTTCCTTATTTTTTGGAATTGGCTGGTTCTTGGTCTGTCAACATTCAAGAAGATAGCTGCAGCTAATATGGCCCTCGTCAGGCTGCCGGCTTGTGAAGGTTTGGTTCATGCTTTGAGGACTCAAAATCAGCTGATTTACAAGCTAAACCGTTAGATGGAAGTGATTTGTGAAAATCACAGGCCACCTGCGGTTTTGGGACTCGCCAGTTTGTTGGAAATGACCTTGGTGAGGCTCGTAAGCACGGACCAGTAGAATGCAGCCTAATCTGTCCATTTTGGATCTTGAAAGTTGAAAGAAGATCATCTCAAGACCACACTTGGCATTTCATGACCCACAAAGGGACCCTGACCTCTACTTTGGTTTAAAGGAACATTTAGCAGCTCAAACAGGAGTATATCACTGCACATCCATGTTTGGCTCTTCCAGCACATAGCATTCATCTTAGAGTTACCTCTATCTGAGAACTGTTGTCGGTATCTTCTGCAGACAGTAGACCTGGAAAACCTTCGGGTTCCTCTGGTCCTGGGTCCTGATCGTGCTCCTGGCTGGCCCGGTTACTGTCCATGTTTTGAGGTTTTGGGGGAAGCCACCTCCTCCAGCGGTGACTGAACAGCTTCACCTCCACCGCATTGCTCTCATCTCCATCTTGCCTCTGCACATACGAGTAAAAGACCCCTGAGGAAACAGAAAGGAAAGTCTGAATATAGAATAAATCTGGTTAAAATTAAAGTAAAGAAAACGGAAACAAATCTCCTCAAAGTGACAGTTCAGATCTTTTGAAGTGAGAATTAGTAGAAAGGCAGTAATCCACTTTGATCACAGCTTTTTGCAGACTAGCCTTTAACCTATAATCCCATCAGAATTAAACAAATTTTCTCAAATTGAGGTCCCTCAATGAGCCATCTACAACAGGTAAGATACAAAGTATTAATCATTCATAACCTTTCAACAGAACCCCAATTAAAAGCAAAAGTACTGCTTTAAGGCTGTAAATTTAAGTAAATAAATGTGTAAAACCTGGCTACAAATATTCTCACACTGTGTTTTTAGATGACATTAACTCAAATGCTCTAAATGTTGTGCCAAAGTCAAAGAAAAAACTTGTTGTGTCACAAAGTGTCAGGTGTCAGCTAAAACAGCTACACACATTTCTCCACCCTAGACAGTTTTAAAGTCACAAGGCCATAGAAAGGTTCAGACCATTAATTTTTTGTGCCTCTTGGTTTCGTCTGCAAACCATTCTCAAATAGTTAAGGAGAAAAAGGAAGCAAACGTGCATGATGACTCAGCAGCTGTTGCACCGACCAGCAGACCACAGACAAGGTTGTTCAGGTCTATGAAGGGTCTGATATAAGAATCTGGTGACAGAAATGCTAATGTAATAATGTAAACACTCAATATTAGCAATCTATGGTAAAATACAGTATATACCTCTTCACACTGAAAAATAATTCTAACTCATAGAAAAACAAGCATAGACCATAAAGAGGACTAGCGTTACACAAGTGGCAAAGATTCATAAAATCAGAGTGACACGTCACAATATTTTCTTTCTAGTGTTGCTTCTGCTGAAATAAATACAGTTGATGTAGGTCAGATCATTCCTGATGCATACTTACATTTCTATGCTGAAGACACAGTTGTTTATTGTCGTGCTAAAACAGTTGCTAAGGTTTTTCAGCTCTTACAGTCTGCATTCGACATCATCCAGTCAGATTTGTTCCGTCTCAGACTGGTGCTAAATGCTGACAAAATCAAAGGAATGTTTTCAAACAGAAAGTCGGTTTCAGCAGTCCTTCCTTCCATTTTATCTTTGAATTGTGTCTCTATTGACTTTGTCGATTCTCATAAATACTTGGGTATTTTGGTCGATTTGCATCTCTCTTTTAAGCCTCGTGATGACAACTTGGTAAAGAAACTATAAGTTAAACTGGGTTTCAGATCCTGTCTAACTCTGAATCCTAGGAAACTCCTTGTATCTGTGACCTTCCTTCCCTCCATTGACTATAGTGACATAATTTACATAAATGCTCCTACAAGCACCCTGCAGATGTTGGACGCTGTCTATCATGGTGCACTAAGATTCATAACAAGCTGTAACGATCGTACCCACGGTTGCACCCTGTATTCATTGGTTAATTAGTCATCATTAACTTTACACAGATTCTCTCACTGGTACATTTTCATCTTTAAATCACTTCTTGTTCTGTTGTCTTCGTATATCTCCTCCTACATGTCACTCCATGAGTGCAGCTACAGCGTGCGCTCTCAGAACATTATTACCTGCAGCGTTCCCTCAGTGCGGACCGAACTGGGTAAAAGGGCCTTCTCCTACTCTGCTCCTGTTTCCTGGAATAACTTTCAAAAATATCTATAGTTGTCGACTTTGACCTCTCTATGGGATTTTAAACAACTGTTAAGATAATGGCAAAAACCAACACAGGACATGTTCCTGTTTTTAGTATTTTACATCATTTTATAATGTAACTGTTTCTGTTTCATTTTTCAATATAATTTCTTCTTTTTACTTTTCATTTTATGATTGCCTATTGTCTGTACCTCTTCTGTGTTCTTCGTTTAAAACAGGTCCCTCTTGTAAATGAGTCCTCGAGGTTCGACGAGACTAACCTGTATAAATAATAGGTTGAATGTATTAATAAACTTAATTTTCATGGCTCTCATCCTAGGTTTGCATGTTGTTGCTCATATGCAAATAGTTTTGGCTTGAGGATGGAGAGAACTGCTGATTCCTCAGCTATTACTCTGCGATGCTTCTTTTTTATAAGACAGAGGTCAGAGGGTTTAACAAGCAGAGAGCCTTTTCTGTTCCTTCCCTCCTGCCTTGTTTCTGTCACAGTTTCAGTTCTTCATGCTCTCCTCTGCTCCCCCACCCACCTCCCCGACTGCTGGCTCTATAAAGGGGCGATGAGAGCCAGTGGAGAAACTAATTTACCCAAAGAGGGGGCTGACAGATGCACTTCACAAGGAGCAAAATAAGAGATTGAGAAGTGAGTGATGATGTGCAGTGGAAGAATTTTGCCAGAGCAGACTGTAGAGTATGAAATATGACTGAGATGACAGTGTCATAGTTGCATAATTTACTTACTTAAGTAATAATTAAAAATACCCAACAATCTTAATGTTAAAGGTCAGAAACTGTTTCAGATTTTCTGCTGTAGCTTTGGCCTCAAACACTTGAATAAATAAAAAATGTATGAATTATTATAGTAATTTATCTTTTTTTTTTTTTTAAATAACAAATTTTAGTTGGCTTTGGATATTTTTGGAGTAGTTGGGCTTTAATGCTGAAAATATTAATCAGCTCCAAATCTAAGTCATTTGAAATTATGGTTGTTCATCTCTGATCTGTAATCCAACATAATCCATATCTTATACATAGCCAACGGTATGATTTGTTAAAAAAACATGAGCAGCAAAGACTGATACCATTCAGTTTTTAGTCGCGACACAATGAAATCTTATATCAGATTTGATCCAACACCAGTGGCGGCTGGCCAATAGAGGGCGCGAGGGCACTGCCCCACCACTCACCACATTACCTTGAATAAGATATAAAAATGAAATAATAAAATCAAAATATTTCAAAATGTATGCATATATATTTTTTAGTTGTGTAAGATAAATATTTCATAGTTAATGATGAGTAAAGTTGTTTCATTCATCAACATTGTCTCGTTGGTGACGTATTTCCACCCTGGGGCACAAAAATCTTTGCCCATAGACTCTTGTTAAAAGTTGTACATGCGCAGTTAGCTCCTCTTCAATACAAGAGATAGGACCATTCTGGGGCGCACCTCTCCTGCGCCCAGAGCTGAATGCAGCTTGAGACGATCGGACAGAGATGGGACATGGCGCAAGAGAAATTGAATAATTCAGTGAAGTAACTTAAAACAATATCTTTTGAGAGAAGAACATATCAAGAAAAGCTACAGGTGAAAGAGCTCGAACCTGATCAGATCACATCACAATTAATCAGCAGTCCAAAGACAGAGGACCTGGTTTAGCAACAAGGCTTGGCTAACTGCATGTAGCGAGGCTAATGCTTTATTCTGCTTTCCCTAATGCACTGCGATTAGCCATGTTTGGGGAAATAAACATTTCATCCATCTCAGCTTAATGAAGGCTACAGGGAGGGATACACTGGTGTGATACCATAGTATATATTTTGGTATGTGTCTATTTTGGAGTTATAGCCCCTCCTGGAGAAAACCCCAGCTGCCACTGTCCAACACTGAGGTTCAGATCAGTACAATAAATAAAACAATACAAGCAAATGAAAGTTTATGTTATTAAGTCTAATGAGAAATGATACAGCAGGAAGTGCAACTAGAAGAAACATTTTGACTAAATGGTCTACAGGAGATGCACTGTTCATAATGTTACTACACCTTTTCACACTTAATTTTACAGTGGATGCTTCAAAAAAAAAAAACTTGAGTGCAGACTATCAAAAGGTTGAAAATTTCTGACTTTGTCAATAGAAAGTTGTAATAAAGCAGTGCATTGTTAAACAGCTGCTCTTCTGATCCTGTCGTATTGTGAATGTGCACATCGGTGGATTGGTGCGAATTCCTTGATCTTCACTCATTTTTTTAAATTGATAAACCTTGACCTTTTTATATGCTAATAACAGTATTACTAATGTGAAAACAAACATTCACATTGATCCATCAAAAACTGCTGTGACATGAAATACTTTTAAAGAATTTAAAGAAATGCCTCGTCACGCTAACGCAGGTAGCGTTGCATTAAAAACTAAGGTGAGTGGTAAAAACTGCTGCATAGGCTCAAAATATTAAACACAAATAATAAAATAAAATCACACTTTACTCAGCATCGTAACACAACGATGCTGGTGTTCCTAAATCTGCTCAATTATCTACAGAACTGTAACAACAGTGCTTGCAGCACAACGTCTGCCTTTAGTTTTAAGAGTTTAACCTTACAAATCCAATTAGAAAGAATGGCTGGGATAAGTGTTTTTGTAGATATTGCTTCAAAGTTAATAAAAGCACAACAGCAATATAATAAGTTTTGTCTCTTAGTGCATTAAATCAGCTTTTGTTGTTTATTCTCTACAACATCTTTTTTTTTTAAATCAACAGTTCACTCATTAAATTTGTGGCATACGGTATCTCTAATACTTCCTGACAACCATTCTATTCCTAATGGCCATTAGTCACATCCTAGTAGACAAACAGCACAAGCTTCTTCCTGTAAACAGCCTTAATACACACTAAAGCATTCCTACAAGCTCTTCCAGTCACACAAAAACATCTATTTTACTCTTTAAAGGATACTTGTCAAAAGCTGGAAAATACAGCGTTGAATAATTGGCTGCTCTTTTCCCAGAATCCTCCTCAGTGAATGGTCAGGATGAGTCACATGCACCTGCATTTTTCTTGAGGCCAGCTCCTCTGTGGTACAGGGTTGTCAGAGTATCCTATTATTCAGGGCAAATTGGAGTTTACTGTAATGGATTTCAGAGGGCAGTAAGGGCCAAAAGCCCCTCTTTCAGGACAAGTCATCTTCTCTGGGGTGAGAGGGCTCTTTTTACTTCTGCATTTCTTTCAGTGCTTCCAAAAGTCCCCACATACTTTCACCCTACCTCTGTCAAGCAGCCCTGTTGGCCAGACTCACGCCTGTCAACACCT